AAAAAAGCAGCGGGATGTTACAGGTACCACTGTGAGAATTAGACATGTGCATAGAAGGTGGTAGCGGAAGAGATATAAAATATTTCATGAAGCCTCTCCTCTTTTAATTCGCGAACACGTCAGTTCTGGAAGTCCCTTCACCGATATTTTTCACCCCAGTGATAAGACGATAACAGCTTTTCAACAGTAAAAAAATATATTACAAAGTAATAAAAGCAACAACAACAACAAAAAGCCGCTCTTTTTCTGAAGCAATGTTTGCGTCAATGAAGGCTATGTTGATGCAGTGTTGGCGCCGCTTTGACCACGCGGCAGTGTGTTTCAGTTTATATTGAGAGCAACTGTACATAAAACACTATTCAATTAAGATTAAACAATTTTAGAGACCACACACGAGGAGGAAAGAATAGTGTGCCTTTAGCTACTGGAAGACTATTCAAACTCGCAAAAACGAACTTGAATGGAATTTTTCCTAATAATCTGCTATACTCCGTCAAAGTAAATAAAATAAAATGAAACTTGAGTGGTTATGTAAAAAAGGTTATATAACACCTAGGGAACAAATGTTTAGGGGCAGGACAGAAACACGAACAGCCACACACACACAAAAAAAGAAAAAAAACATGGGTAAGTGAACACTTTCTCGACACTCTTTACGCCAGAGAATTTGTTTCGTACCAACTAGCCAAACCGGATGATAATAAAATAATATAGCTGCTAAGCTTTAACGTCCCAGAGCCATCATGTGATTATGAGGGGCCATTGTGGAGGGTTCCGGAAATTTTGTCCTGGGGTTTTTTTAAAGTGCACCGACATGCAAGTACCGAATCCTCAAGCATCTTCACCTTCATTGAAAATGCGGCAGCGGTGACCGAGACTAAATTGCGTGACCTGCGGGTCAGCTGCTGAGCGCCATATACCAGCGTGGTGGTTGCACTTCCCGGCAGAAGACATTACTGCGATGTATAAGAGGATCTTGGTATCAAACTTTGTTTTGTTTGTCGAAAAGGAAGATGTATTTTTACACGAACAGTTGGTGTATCTACCTTTAAAGAAAATAACGTGAGCGTTGCCGATAAGACGTGCTAAGATAAACCTTACATAGACGGAAGCTCTCTAAGGCGTAATTTCTCCGAGATGTAATGCAACGTTACAGAAGAGCTAAACAAGGCATTTACATCGCTAGAGGCGCGTTCATGCCACCACGCGAGCTTTTCAGATTGTACCAATAATGGTTGTAGCTCCCGAGTACCAGTATCTAACGTCTCAAAATAAAGTGAAAATTTTAAGAAACTATAGTCATGGAGAACTCGCACTGAACATCTTCCAGTTAACCATTAACTTGCACTCAGAATGCGAGTGCTCAGTTTCTTCTTCCTTATTCTTATTTTTCGCTTTTTTGTCTTTTTTTTGCGCCGTAATTGAACTGCGGTATCTGTGTAGTGAAATCGCACCCTTGACCTCGTGGTTATCTGCAGAGCACGGTCGGCGAAGCAGCTTGGTGGGGCTTTGTATATTGAAACAGTGCCATGTCTCTTTTATGTAAAAGCGTGTATACACTCTCCCGCAATAGCTCCCGTTCCCGGCGAAGAGCAAAAGAAAACTTGTATGACGACTCTCGACAGAGTCATCCGCATTTGTGGATGTGGCACTTCTCACTGTCGACGAGCGCCATATCGCTTCATTGAGAATTGTACTTCTAAGCCAACTAATGGCTGGGCAGGATGCTTGAGACGCCATCACCGACGAAAAGGTCGAAGAAGTGCGCTGCGTGCGCGCGCCCCAGGAATTCGTCAGCGATGGCTGCCCTGCTGCGTCTCCTGCCGTCGCTGCTGCTAGCGGTGGCGCCGGCCGCCGGGCAACTGGAACGCGTCGAGCTCATCCAGGATCCGCCACCATTCGTGCGTGAGTAGGGGACGTGCGGGGAAGCAACGCCATTGGGCGCGTCCGTAGTGGCACGTGATGGCCGAAAAGGTAGCACTTTTCCTGGACGCGTAACAGTGCTGCTGTAATTTGCTTAACTTTCCGATTGAAGACTTGTGACTGAACGAACGCAGATAACAAAGAGAGATAAAGAAACAGCTTCCAAGGGGAACAATAACATCAACAATCTTATTTTTAAAAATATACAAAAGAAAAAAATTAATGCGTATGTGTGCAATGGCTTCTTTGTTGGCATAAGGTCACGTCACAAAGCACGCATTCGCTATTTTTGATGCGTCCTTCATAGGTACTATGCGCCCTTAATTCCTAATGTGTGAAACTTCCAACAACGCAGGAGTGATATGTCAGTTTCTTTCGTTACCATCGAATTTGAGTTATTTGACATGATGTCATGTTTAATGCGAACAACTGCCACGCGCATGCGCTTGCTGATTTTTCTGTGGTGCCTTTCCCAAAACAAATTAGTCTGTTAGTCCGTTATCTGTGCTATGTCGCATCCTCTATCATCGTAGTTGTTTTCTGTTGCTTTTTACACCAAAATGTTTTATCTTCTCACTCATGTACCGAAGGTATCGGTATGAGTGTTCCTATATCATCAGCCTTCTATCGGTATTCGACCAGCAACCTGAATAATCGATCGCAGTAGCAGAACGCCAGACAGAGCACTAATCCAGCGTGCCTTATAAATACGCGCATCAGTTTTTCGTAATGGGCACCATAAGTTGCCACCACTTCAACGATGCTTGCGCGATAACGGCATCGCCATCTCGACAACTGGAGTGGCGCTGCGGAGATCGCACAGTATCGATTTGAAATGTGTTGCGAGAGAGCGGCTGAAACTGTCGTGCACTAATTTGTTCTGCAGCTGTTGAGACATACTGTCTCATTAAGAGGGGGGGAACAATTCCGCTACTTAAAGGGCGCCCACTGCTCTTCCAGCTTTCAACAGAAAGCAGTCCTCCCCAGTAAAAATAATAAGAAAAGGTGGCTGACGCGCGCAGACACAACGAACCAAATGTTCCATTAAAATTGAGACTGCGCTTCATAATTTCACGCTACAAATCGTGGTATTTACAGGACTGCTCAGAATCCCCGACTGTAATCGGCTGCACCTTAGTGGTTTTCCGCGAACTGGTTGGCGGTTATCTAGGGCAGCTTCTTTGCGCCAAGTTGTTCTTGAAGGTTAGCAGAGGTCTGATTTTCAAAGAAAGCAGTGGAAAACCGCAACACTTCCGGCTATTGGCGAACAAAACGAGTCAATTCAAAAGATTTTTTATAGTTCTGAAATTTTCGTGTTAGGCTTATTCCATTGTCTGCTGTAGGTGCCAATAAGTACAACTCGAATCTTAACTGTAGCTGTAAACCGAACTCTGAGTTCATCACATTTACACCCTTATAGCATAATAAACATCATCTGTCTCACAGTAAGTGCGTTAGAAGGCGTCTACTTCTTGGCAGACGGCCATACCGGCTTGATCCAAACTTACTGTTCAGCTGTCATTTTTTTTTACCACACGTTAGCGCCACCGTGGTGGTATAGCGGCTAAGGTACTCGCCTGCTGACCCACCGGTTGCGGGATCGAATCCCGGCTGCGGCGGCTGCATTTCCGATGGAGGTGGAAATGTTATAGGCCTGTGTGCTCAGATTTGGGTGCACGTTAATGAACCCCAGGTGGTCAAAACTTCCGAATCCTCCGCTACGGCGTCTCTCATAATCATATGGTGGTTTTGGGATGTTAAACCCCAAATATCAATCTATCAATGACCGCACAGTAGCCTGCACCGTGTATTTGTGTCTGATGCTACTTTTTTGAATATCACAGTGTTGCGCGCTAAAAACACGATATAGTTATGAGGCATGTATTGGTGGAGAACTGTAGAAATTTAGATAATCTGGTGTCATTTAACGTGCACTGAAAGTATATGGGCATTTAGCATTTCGCCTATACAGAAGTGCAGCTGCCGTGGCTATGATCGAACCATTCACCTTCAGGTGAACAGCGTAACACAATAACCACTGTAACAATGAGGTAGACTGATGCTCTCTTCCCTTGCTGTTTATTTTGCCGTCTACGTGAAAGATGCAGCGAGCTTAGCTGTCTATTTTTGAAGCCTGACGTGAGTATTACAATGCACTTTTACTTGAATATACAAACAGAAGTAAGTGCTGAGTTGATACGTGGAAGGAACATGGATACGTATAGGCGCAGGCCACATATACACCGCAGTTGATAGAAACGCTGAACGTGTTGCCAGAAAGGAAAGTGACACGTAAGACACTGGGACAAAATAGTTTAGTGTCAAAAAGTCGTGGTTGATCATTTCTGTCCTTTGCTGACTGGTATATTGGTCCAACTGGGTATTGTTTAAATAATTGATTATTGGACCATAGATCTGCGTTAAAAGGGCAGCCATATATAGTCTCATCTGTGCATACATTGGAAAAAAAATGTGTCGACCGTATTGTCTGGAGATAGGAAATCGCTGACGCATGCTGTATTCACAAGTCCAGTGATGCGAGGGTAGAAAGTCTGGCTGGGATGTTGCACAAATCAAAATGTTTTAGTTTAACCACAAAAAAGTAAGATTTCTCCTGTATGTTCGTGTCATGTGTATCTAATGATAAATCTACTGTTGGCTACTCTGCCACCTTCTCGTGTATCTTCTTCGAGGAAGATACACGAAAATATGCACGTGGGGATAAAAACTCCAGAAGCGATGGTCTCTGATGTTTTTGCCTCAACGCGCAGTTTTTTGTAAGAATGGAGTCGTTATAACACTCAGTAATACAAGCTGGTGATGCCAAAGATTGGTTATTGTAAATTAATGTTGACTATTCCGCTGTTGCAACACTAACGTAAACGTTATTACAATGACGGAGCAAAAGTTTTGCCTTTGATTAACAATGTTAGAAAACGAAAGAGAGAAAAAGACTGTTGGTGAAAGGAGCTTTACTGTCATATCCCCACTTACATTTCGCTTGAAGCGTTGTTAGGCTTTTTAGAGAGAAACCAGAAGCGAATATCACTGTTCGTGCCTTTCGATGCGCAGCGGGAGGTCCACCTATACTGGTGAACATGGTCAACATGATGGAGCGCGTGATGAACGACCTCGTGCCTCAGATACCAATCATTGGCGAGCCGGAGCTTGCCGCTGGTCCGATGCTACCCGGTCCTGTGATTCCCGGTCCTGTCTTTCCCGGTCCTGAGATTGCTGCACCCGACGAGGTCAGCAAAGAGAGCCGAATCAACCAGTCCGCCGAGCCGCAGCCGGACGACGTGGCCATTGATATCAAGGTGGTGCCGCTGGGCGGGCCCAGTTTGGGCCTGGGTGGTATCATCCTGCCGCTACCGCGATTTCAGCGGGAGGTCAGTTTACGTTTAACATTTGACCTCTATAATCACACTGTGCGTGTGTAGCCAACACATTTTTAAAACGTTACGCTGAATGGAATGAGAGGTATTTAACAGTCATTTTTCAGAGATCCCTTGAAACAGGAATTGTACCGCAGATTTGGAAAAAATGCAAAAGTTGTTCCGGTGTTCAAATCTGGCGACAAACAAGTAATTCCAAACTATCGACCTATTTCACTAATCTGCACCTGCTGTAAAATTCTAGAACACATTATTCACAAACATGTAGTCACATATTTAACTGAAAACAACCTCCTTTCCCAAAATCAACATGGCTTTCGTGCAGGATTTTCAACAGTCACGCAGTTGCTGGGGTTTACGCATGACATCGCTTCGACTTTAAACGATCGCGGTCAAGTGGACGCCATTTTTATTGACTACTCGAAAGCGTTTGATACTGTTTGCCACAATAAACTCCTCCTCAAATTAAAAGCCTTTCTTCGCGGCACTCACGGCATTCGCTTGTTATCTTGGCTTTCAGATTACCTAAATTTAAGGCAGCAGTTTGTCGCGTTTAACAATTCGCATTCGTCATCCCTCCCTGTCACATCAGGTGTGCCGCAGGGCTCGGTCCTTGGGCCTCTTCTTTTCCTAATTTATCTCAACGATGTTGTCGAAATAACAAAAAATACAAAGGTCAAACTCCGTCTATACGCCGACGACTGTGCCCTCTATTCTTGTATTAGTACCTCCCGTGACCAAATACAGTTAAATAATGTTTTTTTTTTCTTTCCATACCTGGAGCTCAACGTGGCAAATGGCACTAAACCTTAACAAAACGGTAAGCATGACATTCACAAACAAGAAGGAACCCCTACGTTTTTCCTATGGCCAGAACATGAAGCATGTCAACGAATACAAGTATCTTGGCGTAACATTCTCACCGAACTTAAAATGGCATAAACATATAAACCTAATCTGCTCGAAAGCGCTCCGAAAATTGGGCTTCTTGAAGCGAACGTTAAAAGATGCAACTCACGAATGCAAACTAACAGCATACAAATCCCTGATACGGCCTGTTCTTGAATACGCCTCCGTTGTCTGGTCACCTCACTGCGCATGCGACATAGCACACTTGGAAGGTGTTCAAAAAAAAGCAATAAGATTCATATATCACCGTTATGATCACAATTTTTCGCCTTCGTCCCACGCTGTACGTCTATCACTCAAATCACTTGAACACAGACGTACTTGCGAGCGTATCGGCACTTTACATAAAATCGTGAACAAAATAATCACCATTGACATGCCCTTTTCCTTTGCCAACTCCGTTGCAAACACTCGCAGGTCAAACCCCATTAACATCACACCCTTCATGTCATTTCTAGATTGTTTTAAGTTTTCATTTTTTCCTTTCACAGTGGAATTGTGGAATAATCTGGATGTTTCTCTCCGAAAGTTGCCTACCAATAGTTTTTTGAATGAACTACCAAACCATGTGCTTTGTTAGTTTAGTGTGTATTCACTGTTATGGTCACACTCCTGCAATGTCTCGAACTGTAGACAGCAGTATTTGTAAATAAAATAAAATAAAACCCTATCGGTTATGGTGTGTCCGTGTTGAGATTCAACGCATTTTTTAATGTACCGGAGCCAAGAATTTGATAGTGAAAGACACTTAGGAGGCGAATTGAACCAAACGCATACTACTCGCACTAGACTGCAGTTACTAAAGCTATTTTTTTTTGTTTCTATCCATACTAATGAGTCATTCTTAATTACCAATTTTTTTAAAATCGTGGGCTGGCAACCCAAAATATGAACACTGAGATGTAGAGCACTTTCAGAAACCACCAACTAAATTGTTTCCTGTACAATACGTCTCGCGCTATTATTTTTTCCACGTTGTAAAGAAAGCCCGCGAAATGTGAAAAGAAGCCACGTGACGAACCGCGAGCGCACTGCTATAGTGCTGCTATATGCTTTCTTTACAACGCCGAAAAAATAACAGCACTGCACGTATCGTACAGGAAACAATTTATTCGGTGGCTTTTGAAAGTGCTCTATATCTCAGTGTTCATACTTTGGGTTTCCAGCCCATAATTAAAAAAATAATTAGGATATAATAATTTGTATGGGGAGAAACAAAAAATTGCCTGAGTACCTCCAGGCTAGTGCGAGTAGTACGCGCTTGGTTCAATTCGCCACTATGTTATGTGGGACACTTTGTATGTTTTATGTGGAACACCCAGTTATCTGGGACACCCTGTATATGAAACAACACGCTGAACGGTTAATATAACTCTCTACCAACTGAAAGTAGCTGCACGAGGTACTTGGGTATCTTCAGGGTAAAGCAAGGTAAACGTAATTTAACAGTGCACCACCCGGTCTCATGAACAGAGTTCATTGAATTTTCATCTTGGTTGAACAGAGCACACGGGACGATGATGAAGAAAAAGAACACAGACGTCCTCGTCCCGTGTGCGCTGTTCAACTAAGATGAACCCATACCAGCTTGCTCAAGCTTCCATTCACCTATTGAATTTTCCCAGTTCTTAAAAATATTTATTAACAAAGAATGTTACTTAAATACAAAGTGTTGCTCAAGAACGTATCTAAATTATTGTGTACAACAAAAATGAGCGCAACATGACCGAAAGCTTTTATTTACTTTTTAACGTCGTCTTCAGGCTATACTCTCAATTCAGTGAATGCACATTTGCATGAATATTGTTACTTGATATCCCCTACGTATATTTCCCTTCTTACCTCAAAGTCGTTGACAAACACACTATTTGTGAACGAGCTGATCACTAACACAGCTATATTTACTAGAGAACTGTAAGCAAGCTCCCCCCCTAAAAACGTGGAAAGCGACCGTACAATTCTGCAATAGACATGGCGAGAAGCGCGAATCCGCTGATTAAAACTGGTATTGGTAACTCAAGCTGCTCTGTATCGATGTGGTTAATCTGTGTTCTTAGTAGCGTCAGAAGGCTGCCAAATGAGTGTTCACTCGTATGAGTTCATGCAGCAAATATTTATTTGTTTTTTTTTCGTTATACAACACATCACTTGTATAAACAAAGAATAGGAACAAAGGCAGTAATGCGTACCCGTCATCGTCATGCATATATCCTATGTATTTTGTGCGCGTAGGTTTAGCTGTGCAGGTTCTCTGTGTGTGTCGCATCGCGTCACGACGCAATGAATGGTCAGAAACTGCGCACAATGCCTCAGTGCTGCGACTAAACGCCCAACTTGCCTTTCTATTTGCATGGTGCCTTTTAATGTCAACTGAACCGCAATTATAATGACCAGAAGCTGGAATGCTTGCTTTTCACTCCCGAAGATTCCCTCTTCATGGGAGCGAAATCGAAGGATGCCCGTGTGCTTAGATTTAGGTGCACGGGGTAGATTCTAAGGGAGTCAAGAGAGAGAGAGAAAACTTTATTTGCGCATAACGCGGAGCATTCCAAATGGTCGGGCCCCTATTCCAGGGCTCCACTGGCCCTAGCCATCATCTCTACCCGTTGGACCAGGCAACGCTGATCAACAATGGCCGAGCTGGACAGCAGTGCCTCCCACTGTCCCTCTGTGTTGTTCATGTTGTCGTGTTCTTCATTGTGATGCGTACACTCCCACGTGATGTGAAACAGAGTTGGTGTGGTGTACAGTGGTTAGCAAAGCTGCCTTCCAGGGAGTCAAAATTAACGATGATTTCCTACTTCGGCGTGCCTGATGAGCAATGACGGTATTGGCAACTAAAACCCCGTAATTTGATTGCATTACGAAGTCTCCCTGTGACGTCTATCGTTAAAACATAGCCATCCCATTGCGCCTTCAGCTGCACCGAGGGCTCATCACGGTATACCTACTGTTGTAATCCGCCCCCGTGTCTTGACCCCCTTCGGACGCGTGGAAGGATTTTGACTTTGTCGCACTTCCGGAGGTGTCCAGAAAGTGACAGCACAGCGAATTATTCGGCTCGCCTCAAGCTCTTTGGGTCCGCATGGCTGACGGATTACCTGGAAAGGGCTGTTTTGCTGTCTGGGCGGCCTAGATAGACTGGCCCCTTCTGCATGTCTGGAGTCATCGGAATGCACCTGAAAATGAGCCGTGTGCCGGGAAGAACATGTTAGGTGACGTTTCGTGCATTCCAAAGGGCCTTTCCTGCACACCATGGATTGCCCGGCAGTGATGCCTCCTTCATGAGTCAACCATGAGCAGGGCCAACAGGTTGAGTTGACTCTGCGTGTGGACTGTGCCAGTGACGCCGTGCTATCACGTTTCCTGAGAGGGGTTTGTGACTTTGCCTCTTCGTGAGCGCAGTGAAAGACGACGACCCATTGGAGGGTCCTGGACTCAATTCTATTCCCTCGCAGGGAATCTTGGGAAGACGGAGTGCACGAAACGTGAGTGCAGAGACGCTCGGGTGTACTTTTCTTTTTTTTTTTTTCATCACACTACCTAATCTATCACGCTATCTAATCATGGAAATACTGCGAATAAACGTTTCAGTTTTCAGCTCCGTCTCTTTGCTTCGTCTTCGCCCTGATTCTAGGATGGCTTCGAGTCCCGACTAAGTCCCCCGTCACAACACTAGCCTACAAGCGCGTCGTATGTTTTGCGCGTGATTCGGGCATGCGTGTTGATGTGTGTGTCAGTGAACGTGCCCATTCCTCACGTACGCCGGAACGTGCTAGTGGTGGCTTTAATATTAAACGATGCGCTACGAAGAAATGGGTTATCGAACACCCACAAAAGAGCCATGTAGGCAATGGCGTAAGTAGGTACGAGTAAACTGCCGCGCATTTGATGCGTTGGCTAGTCTATTCACGTATACACGTACGCAAAGATCTGGTATTCGGGTGCTCGGCTTGATTTCAATGCCGCCTTTCAAAACATGGTGTGGAAACGTAGTGATATTTTGCATGGTAGCCCTTACTGCTGTCGCTGTGGAGTCTTGATGATGCCTTGAATACATGATAGTAAGGGATGTGCATTTAAGATTTAATCTATGTAGTATAACATAAAAAAATGATCAAAGCCGTCATTATTGGATCGAGGATATCTTTGCTAAGCCCCAGCCGCTTCATTGCAAAACCACGAATAAGCCCTACCATATAAAACCTGGAGATAATGATGCCAAGAAAACGTATGGGTGTTAACTGTATGTGTTATTGAAGAATGATAATTACGCAACAAAGGGAATCATACTTGGACGAAAAAAAAAAAACCGAGCTACTATATGGGTATACTATCCCACAACCTCCACATTAAGCATGCAGACTACGGTGATGACAGTTCTACTGTCAACTTTTTCATTTTATTGGATGTTTATTGCAGTGTAACACTAGAAGTGTTAGCCAGCGCCACTTGTAGCCATGGTGGTAGATGTGAAACATTCGCTTTGCCATTTTCATAGGTGTTTTAATGGCTGCGGAGGTATGGTTTATGGCGCACGCAACAACGACCGTGGTATCGACGGGCAATCGATTGCATAATGCACGAACTATAGTGCTTAGGTATGCACAACTCGGTCTTGCGTGCGGCCTGACGGTGAAACGCATGTGAAAGCAAGTTTTCATTCTTTTTTTCTTGTCGTGTGCAGCCCGTTGCCTCGGCCTCCAAGGGAAAGGACATGCTGAGAAAGAAGCACAACGCAACGAAACCTACAGCTGGTAGCGCTGAATCGGAGCATCGCAAGGTGGCCGTCCTAGAGGTGGTCCGGGAAAACAAATCTCACCCAGTGCTGCTCCCCGTCTCCAATAGCGACGTCAGCTCGAGTAATGAAACCAACGAGAAACCGTCACCTTCCCCGTCTTCAAGCTCAGCAGGTGCTTGAATCAAGCTTTAACTTCAAAATGCGTGAAAAACAGTTCAGGATCGACGGTGAAAAAAATTCAGGGCTGTATAAAGAACATCGTTTACACGACTTTCTTGATAAGTTTGGGTTTGATGAACATTTCTTCTAGGGTAAATAATGACAACACAAGAAAGCATTTACACGCCGGAGTCACTTCGTTGTCTTAAAACATAAGTTCTCGCCTTTCATGTGCTGAAACAATCATGTGATTCCCAATTACGCCATGATGCGGGACTCCGCATTGATTCTTACCATGCAGCTGAAATTCTTAACGTGCACTCAGATCTAAGTACATGAATATTTTTTAATTTAACCTCGCCAATATTTCTCTGAACAAACACAGCCCTCAACAATGCTCATTTTGATGCAGCAGTCCGTATTTTATGCAAGGGTGGCGCCAAGATTTTCCCCAAATGAGGGGGGGGGGGGGGGGAGAAGGGGCACCCATTACCAGCGGGTTCGTTCACGGGGGCAGGAAGGCGACTAACTCATGTGTCTTGTTTTGACTATACGCTCGCGTGAGGGGCATATGGGCAAACACATGATTCATTCTAAAATGCCACTTGTAGATGGTGTCCTCGTTCCTCAGGTTCCCATACCAAAGTGTGCGGAGCTCGAAGTTGGCGCCGCCCACAGGGTATTCTATAATGAAAGCCAAACAACAGGTATACCCATGCGTTTGTGTGCAGCTTCCGAGCTCCCGTCTTCGTCGAAGTCAGGGTTACGTCTACGGTCGCCGGCGAAGTTGGCTCAACAGAAGCTGCAAGACGAGGACACACCGGTGGTGGCCGTCCAGGCAGATTCGTTGGTGGCCTCAAGCCGCAGGGCACCGAAAGTTGAGAAGGTCTCGCAGTCGGAGCCCGGCAGAGTGGCTACCTTTGGTTCCAACAACACTGACCTGGCGTCCTCGTCCACCGAGACCGGAATAGCGGCCGCCTGTTACGCCCTCTTTCTACGCCACGGGCTGCTGCTTCTGGTACTGGCCGTCGTTTGCGGCATCTCTTGCCTCCTGGGTGCGCTGCTGCCCATCTTTTGCAGAAGGCGGCGTGCACAGGTAAGCAACATGAGTTTCCGGAATGATACGCAGTCAGCGTCTACAATTTAGGGACCACTTGGTGTGGGAAATACCTTTGATTCGCCAGAAACTAGTTAGTCTATTTGCTCAGTCTGCCTAGTACATGTTGAGGCGCTTTAGACGCGCTGGAAGTATAAGTTCAGGGCTACCTCTCTGAGTAACGGAAATATGACGTTCTTGTGAATGGTGGCTTCGAAACATTTTAAAAGTTGACTGTACCTACTGTGCAAAGCGGTCTGTTGGGTTTGTGAGAGCTCCGATCACGACTGTGTTTAACTATGTTAGAGCATTGCATCAAATTATTGCGATGCGTTAGTTTGGGATGTTTTTGTGAGCCAGGCCTTCTCGTTTCTTACCTATATATCCACAAGAAAAGGTAACTGTGCAGGCAAACCTCCGAAAAGATTTCAATATTTTAGGGGTGAGGTTCCTTGGGGTATGGGTTGTTCCCTCGTAGTAGAAGTATGGTGTAGTAGTACCCACTTCTAGTTAGCTTTAAGAATTGATCACTAGATGGCATTATGTGTATATGTTCTTGAAGGTATCGCTAGATGGCTTTAGTGGGTTTCGTGAAAAATCTGACTGCATTTCCGAGGAGTGAAGTGTCCGTCCGTGTGTCAGGTTCATCACATACAGACAAATGGATGGATGGATGGACTCATGAACAGAGACTTCGCCCCACTCATAATTCACTCGCAGACAGACAGATAGATGGATGAACGGATGGATGGACGCTTCGTCCCTCTCATCATCATTTACTTCGTGTATATGCTGGGAATTGTTTCAGAGAACGTGACAAGTCTTGTATGTCATAATTCATGTTTTTCGTCTGCACTGTAAGCATGAGTCCAGTCGACAGACTCCCTGTGTTTGAGCGTTGTGAGTAGGATTATGCTACTGTGACGCCCAGGAATGTAATTTGTGATTTGCATATCTAATTGTAGAATACTCTGTATATTGTTTGGACTGTCTGATATAGCAGTCTTAACGCAGCATTGTGGGGACAACAAAACTGGACTGACCACCCGAGCCTTTGCAAAAATGCGTAAAGTGTTGAGACGATTAGACCTGGTTACACAGCTATCGATAGCGAATATATAGATTATTAGACGCGCATTGAGAAACAATGTTAGTCTGCCTCGGAAGCGGTGAATTTTCGAGAAGTATCCTGACAAAAAAGAAAACCAAACAAAACACAGACAGCACCAGTTCCTTATTGCTTTTCTTTCCTTTTTCAGTTGTGCCTAAAAGGGTTTCCCCTGTTGGCGCGCTTCACTAGTCAAAGAAAACATCTTGAACATATATTATTGTAAATCTGCTCTGTGAACTGGGCTAATTTTGCTTTCTTTATAACGTAAATGCACAAATGCCGCGCAGTTGCCTGTCTTCACAGACACTGCCATTTCAGTTCATCGTCTATTTCGGGCTAATAACACCAACAAACGATGAATGAAAGTATATGGGAATTATTTCTATAGTCTTTCACAATAAAGTGGTAGTTGTGGCGTAAATGTCAACAAATCAAAGCCGGCAAAATGAAAGCTTGTGATCCAAATGTCGTAAGTTCTGTCACTGCCTGCAGCAAGTTGTCTATTCGTGCACTTTTCATTTCTTCTGCCTTTATGTAATACTTACCGCATTACAGTTAGAAACTACAAGTAATGTCCCTACACATTTAAAACTTAATTGTCTATTGTTCTGATTACGTTTAACATAGCATATAAAATGAGCCCCTGATCACTTGCCCTTCTTTTGTCTATTTCCAGGCTTTTTGTGACGGAATTCACCGCTCATATAGTTCTGCGCTCATTTCTCCTGCAAAAATGTTCTATAAATTTTGTACCGGTTAGAAATCACTTCGTTTAAAAATCACACGTGGTGTATTTCGGAAGTACGTGTTCACCTTTTCTATCAGTTGCGCTGGTTCTGTTATAGCAGAAGAATTTCTTGTGGAAGCTTCATCTCTGCGACAAACGTTTGTTTGTCCGTGCACTTGCCCGGATTAAACGAGTGGCTTCAGAAGAAGCAATCCGGGACTGAGCGGCTTTCTTCGCGGGGATCAACGTTTCGCAGCAAACTCGTCATGTTTGCTCAAAGAACTGTCTCGTTACCTTGGTAACTACAAATCTGACCTCGCAGTGACTCGGTCGTTTATGGAGATCGTTATGTTGCGATGCTCTCTTTACGCCAGCAAAGAGATGGTTATGGCTATGTACAACCAGTCAAGTTTTCGTTGTTAGCAAGCATTGTATTTTAAAACTAGCGACAGCCGTCACATGCTTTAGAAGTTTACCGAGTAGTAGTATTGGGCTTGCTATGGAATTGAATCAAATTGAATCCTGCGCACCATGATATATAAAGCTTCCGAAAAAAAAATATTTCTGTCACGTGCAGCGTTACTTGGTTTGCCATGAATTAAGTTGAGTGGAGGGAAGTGCTTTAGTCCTCGAAATGTCACTCGAAGAAGGTTCTGAACGTAATAGTATATTCTGGGTTTTTACGCAATGGAGCCATGATACGATTTCAATCTTTGTAGAGGGGACTGCGAATATATTTCGACGCCTTACAGCTGAGATAATACGGTGGGTTTCTCTAGACTTATCATAAAATTCTAAAGCCG